ACCAGAGATGAGTTCGGAGATTACTCACGGGTAGAACACTCGATAGTCCTGTGCTGCCCCTCGGTGGTGGATTAGGGCGACTAGCGCACTAGCACCTGTTACCCCTCAACGGCGGCGCAACTCATTTCTCTAGGCCTATTCTCTAACTCGTAACAGGTTCAAACGTGAACACTTTTTTGCTCGGGTCGTAAAACAATTACAGTCTCACACGGTTCGCTGTTCCGCAAACGCAAATCAACGCTAATTATCAAATCAAAAATACTCGCGTGAGTTACCGTTTAAGTTAGCGCGAGAACCGTCGTACTGTAGTGCACGGTACATATATCGTTATCGTTAGTCTACAGAAGCGACACCGTAACGACAAAACCTATTCTATAACTTTCTTGAAACGACAAACGTCGTTAATGTACCGACAAATGTCGTTATGGGTATCGGTAGTTTATCGAGACCTACAAGACCCCTCGCTAAGAACGTAACGAATAACGTCGAAGCGTTAACCAATGGGAATCCAAGAAAACCTCTTCTCTCATTGGTTCTATCGTGGCGTTTAAAATATATACAGAGACTCCCAACCAACAAGCTTTAATTAAACGCAATTTATGAATTTAACCAAACAGCAAATTCAGCTTTTGTAATTATTGATGTGGGTATTAATTTTGCGTAAGTTAAGTAATATAGAAGCAGTAAATTCTAAGGTATGTATAACCTTTGTGTGCATGCAAATGTTTAAGAGTGAGGTTATGTTTATTCCATATATCTTAACATAATTTGTGTAACATGTACGGTGTATGTATGCACTTTCAATAACTGCGCTGTTTTTCTATTATTTTATAGAAACAATGGCAGAACATTTTCTCGAGTGGGAATTTCTAGTACTAGAAAATCGATATAGATGAGATGTCTAAGAGATGCACAAAATCCATTTGATCTTCCTTACAATGAATTTTTAAAACATTTCCGATTAAGATCAGAACTTGTTATGGATATTGTCAATACACTGCGTCCACGATTGGAAAGAGAAAGAATTCATGGCTTATCACTAGAAGTAAAAGTATTAGTAGCAATTAATTTCTATGCTAATGGAAGCTACCAAAATCCAGTTGGTGCAAATATGAACGTTGATAGTTAGTCAACCATCTGCTAGTCGTTGCATTCGTAAGAAAAGAAAAAACTATTTCAAATACTAATATAAGAAAAGATTGCATTAAGTAGTGTTCAAACTGCTTTTTAATAAAGAGCTATTGAAAAACTATGAACTTCGCTACCGTGAACCACTATTTTTAATTTGTATCCTTTGTATCTTTCAGTGTTCACAAACTCATCTTAAGAGAATGTGAAATTTCATTGGTTGAAAACAGTTATGCCGAATAGGGCATTGTCGCTAGCGTAACGATGTCGTTAGCTCGTTTTGTATCAATAGGGTGTTGCTAGGAGCAGTTACAGAATACGCCATTCGTTAAGCTGTCGGTAAAACAAGCGACGACCATCGGTAACGTAACGATAACGACAGTTGTCGTTACGAGTTAAAGAATAGGCCTACTGGTGAGGGCTCGCGCACTCGAAATGGTGATGCCCTCTAACAGTCGCCGCTGGCGGCTTACTCGTAGTGATACCATGAGGTAGTTAACGGTGGTGGCTTACCTACGCTTACCGACACTGGTCACATTTGATAGTAAGGAAAGAGACTCGTGTCGCCCTCTTTGACTTTACCCTCCATTTATCTTATTTATTTTTTCCGCAAATGATACAGGTAAAATTACAACGCGTGTGCCCCAGAGTTTAAGGTGAAGTGAAACACGTCGAGAAACTTGATTGACGACGATAAAGAAGATTTTTCTAAATGCCTACGTTGCCGACGTTCGTTTTTATATTGATAGCTGGGTCGAATTATATTGGATATTGTACCAAATGGCATACTCCATCTGTCGTTTCCGTACAATAAAGACCAAGAAATCGAAGTAAAACTCCAGAAATCCTTTGGATTCATGCTTTCTGGGGCCTTAATTGACTGCAGAGGGACCCCCTGCGCCATCTGTGATTTCCAGGTCAATTAAATTTTCACTCCGAGACCTCGTATTCCCATCGTTTTAGCATAGAAACGCATACAATACTTTTTTTACCTTTATCTCGTTCAAATGCGAGTTTATAGATTACCAGAGTGTTCTAAATTGTCGTAAAATTGTCCTGACCCTTTCGTTTCTTATATCAGAGCCTTCGATAATTGTATATTGATTGAAATATGAGAGCTCGATGCCATTTTGGTTCTGGTCTGGGCTGTTAAAAAATTTTTTCCAAAAATCCAAATTTTGAATGTGTCAGGACAATTCTTAGATGATCAGGAGTGATGTGTCAAAGTTTCGGACAATTTGGTCTAATACCCTTAAATAAAAGTGTTGAATTCGAATTGACTGATTTGAAGGGAGTTTCACTTCACCTTAAGTTCTACTTTATAAACCATTTTCATAAGCTATGAAAATTTATAAAAAAAATAATGAATGTTCCCTATGAAACACATAAGACCTAGATGGAAAGTGATATCCAAAAACATAACTTGACGTAGCCGGTATAACGCCAGGTGTAACATGTGTATGTACATATATACCGATACCGAAGTGCAGAATCCCGCTACTGATCAGACACCTATATATCTTCATCATGTACAATTCTAAATAACCATATATGAAAAAATACATAATTATATCGAATAACATATGATTTTATATATTATTTTTTCTTGGGTTGTTTATTCACAATTGAGGTTACCGTATCGCCATCTATAGTGTGTAATTTATTAGCTATTTTACTTGGATTTTACGCAAACTATTTGTTCAAGTACACCTATCCCCCGATTTACACTGAAGATAGAGTCCTTAGAAAACCGTGTAAATCGAAAACAAACTAAAATATGCATAATTCAGTCATTTATTTCAACGTAAAATAAAACTAAATATATCTTGAAAAACATAAAAATAACGGTCTATTCATAAAATGATAAAAATATATAGGTATATGTATGTAATTCATTTTACATATAGAAACAGGAAGTAAAATTAAATAATTTAACCAAAAATTTAATTACTGTTATCACTTTCGTACACTATTAATCTTTCATTCCTGGTTGGTATGATATCACTTTCATCACTCGATAGTACTTCATGCGATTCAAGTTCGATGTTAGATGAATTAGAAACAATTTCAGATCGCTGAGTCTTGGTAATGAAATCTGTAATTAACAATTGTGTTTTGATTTTGATAAAATATTTATAGACCTCCTCATATTGAGTTAAGCGTTTATTAATAACAATGTTATGCGATGACGTTTAGCGCGTCAACACTTTAGTGCGGGCCCTTGCCACGCTCGTCAACTATAAGTTTGTTCGTTTTGCCTACACTTTCTACACTTTTACGAAAAGTGTACACTTTGGCGTTCGTTTCGACGGAAGGGACGCAAACGCCGCTGTTCGTTTTGCAAGTGCATCTACCCCGAGTGTACACTTTCTCTACACTTTCTACCCTCGATCCCGAGCGAGGGCAAGAAGGGTAGCCCGCGAATTTGGCGGCAAATTTCAAAATGGAAAAGACCAACAAACAGGAAAATTCAAAATTTATGCTAACATCTCAACGTAATATAAACAGAAGTAATTATTAATGCATCTTCTTCGTGTATAGAACGATTTAGCGTTTTAGTTTAGTACATAATGTTTGAAACAATTTACAATAATTATGTATTACTACTTAATCGCGGTTGGAATGAACTAAACTATCATTTATCCCTGTTGTAGTTAAATTGTATTTCATTCTCCTGCAATAATATTCTTACCCTTATTGATCCTCGATACCTGAAATTCGTGAAAGGAATTTTCATCTTCTACAATTACAAGGTAATAGAACGAATTGTAGGATTTGAAGAAAACGAAGACAGCTCAAGAAGGAAGACTGGAGGAAGCATTACATTTTCGCATTCATCATCGTCCGTTACGCATAACCTCAAAATCGCGTACCTCTCTACTAAATCGGTGTCTTGGACTTTCGTGAGATTTCTGGCGTTCGGGACGTCGATGAAAGTATATCTACCCTTCTGCACTTTTCAAGAAAAGTGTAGTACCCTCGTTACCCTCGAGTGTAGAAAGTGCAGTCAACGCGAACAAACCTTATGTATCCCGGATCTTCTCGATCCGGGCAGGGGGCAATTTTAAAACCGTGTAAAAATGAAATCGTGTAAATAAAGTACCGTGTAAATCGGAGGATAGGTGTATTTCACGTAAAAAACCTCGAATGACACGTTCTTACACAACCTTATTCTCTGGTGGAATGCACAATATTCGTTAAACCTGGTTTACTAGCTTAAACTTCAGTTAACTAGGGTTGTTAACCAGTCATGAACGTGACTATGTCTCCACCGTACTCGAAATCCGAGATTTATTAGGTCCAAATTCAGTAAATCAGGATCGATTCTGCGTAATTATTAATAACCACGTCTCCATCATTCTTCTAAATCCGGAATTTATCGGATCCGGATCCAGTAAATTGCATGTCTCCATCTTTTTAATAAATACACAAATTCGATCCTCAGCGTCTTGATCGACGCTTGAATTCGGATTTACTGGATACGGATTCAATAAATCCTGGATTTCGAGCACGGTGAAGACGTAGTCAATACGATGGAAACATGCGATTTATTGGATTCGGACCCAATATGTCCTGGGTTGAAGAGTATGATGGAAACGTAGTCAGTTAGTTTCTGTTTTTGGTTTAAGTATTCCTTTTCCATGGGAATACCATAGCAAATATAAAACCACATCGTACGTTTACTACACAACTGAAATCCAATTTTCTAAAACCTTTTCAAAAGACATGACTAATTAAACGAAGAATAGCAAAGTATATATCTATTAGAAGACTGAATTTCCTAGAACAGATTTATACATCGAGTTTTAATTTTGAAGTAACTTATGCATTGTTGCAAGTTGGTTAAACCAAAATGAAAAGCTCGTTGTAAACATAAAATAGATTCATTCGAACGAACTCGAGGGTAGAAATGCAGAAGTATTGTGCATCGAAAATTTAATATTTATAACAAAATAAGAGGGGAGAGCAACGAGTTTTAAAGTATTTTGTTAATTCGAGTGGGAAGGGAAAAATCTATTGTCAATTTTGGTTATTTCGTGGGATTTTCAAGTAGAAGAATTCGTAAATACAACAGATTGAAAGGTTTAGCGACGATCAGGCGAAGAAAGGAAGAGGGATTTTCAACTTGACTTTATTTAAACAACGAGCAAGACGGCTTCTCACAAGAAATCATCGAAGAAGATGGCGGAATCGGAAGAATTAGAGGTACGTCAAGTCTTTCGTCCGTTCAAAAATCACTGATTATAACAAGCGTTGGATAGTGTTATTTTGATTATTATTGAGGTCATTACGAAGGCCGTACATTTACTTCATTTTCAGTTATATCCTCTGGCATTCTTTAATAATTAGAAATATCGAAAAATTAATGCTAGTTCGTGTGTAATTTCGGTGATGTAGCGTTTCTACTACTTGGTTTGAGGTTAATTTACCTGAAGTTATCAGGATGTATTTACACCATGATTGAACAGTAAGTAGTTATTAATTAAAAATGTGAAACGTTTTCATTAAATTTAGTTATGTATTCTAGGTTTAATGAATTTTCCCTAAGATTAAGGATTTGTATCTAATGACAATCGCCACTATTGCATCGCAATTTAAATGTGTTAATGTTAAATACATTTGAATACATTTTACGACATATGTAATGAACACGTGATAACTCTTCATATGTTTTGATATCACATTGTAGGATGTAATTTTGCAGCTTTTTCGTTTAAAAATAGTTTCTTGTACTTTATTAAGTGTTTTAACATTTATTCCGAAATAAGAAAGTGTTGAACTTGTTCAATATGGTTTAAGAAATGTGGCATAAATCTTTCCATATGTAACGATCGATACTATATTTACACTTAAGTAATTGCATGTTTATTTATTTCTAATTAATTTATTAAAACAATGATGATTATGTTAACACAAATTTCTACAGCCAATTTTTAAAGTCTTGTGATTTTGAGTCCTTTATCTTTCAGAATATGGTGTTAAGTTTTCGAGTGTCAGAACTTCAAATGCTGTTGGGATTTGCTGGTAGAAATAAATCCGGTAGAAAAAATGAACTACAAGCTCGCGCTTTAGAACTATTGCGACTGAGATCACATCCGGTTCAGTTAAAAATTCGTGAACTATATAAAACAATACAGTGAGTAGTTTTATCTACCTTTATTTGATGTTTCAATTGCACTTGTACTATATTTCTGAATTAATGTTTATAGAGCAGATCAGTTAGTGGCACACCAAATGTATGGTCAAAGTGGTGGCACATCAGAGCCACAAGTTGATCAAACGATGCATTCACGTAATTATTATACAAGGTGAGCACCCTAATACATTTTGTCAATGAACCTAGATGTCATGTTACATGTGCGTAAATTGTATATGCAATTTCTAATTCGTCACAAAACAATTATCTTAAATTCAAGAAAAGTGATGCAATTCCAAATCATGAGCTTAAAACTGCATCTTTGAGGAAATTAATACAATAATTATTATTTTCTAGACAAGGCCATGCACAAGCTATGGGACAACAACAATCTCAGGCATCCATATCTGCGACAAAGGAACTTTCTCCTGCACACCAAGCGTCCATACCACCCTCGCAAGTGACACCTCGAAGTACCCCAGTATATCAACCGACAAATTATTCAAATGTTACCTCCCAGGTAAATTATTTTTATCTGTTTATATAACCTATTTCTATATTATTATAACTTTCACAAATTCACCATGTGCACATTTGTGATTCATTTTAGCAACGTTCAGCAAGTTCCACCTATAATCCATACCCTTTTTCAACAAAAGTATTATCACAACCACTGCCAATTCAACAGCCGAATCAGTATCCGGTGCATCCAGATGTCAGACTTAAAAAATTACCATTTTTTGATTTATTGGGAGAATTACTAAAGCCGTCTAGTCTAGTACCCCAAGGAACAATACGTGTTCAAGAAAACACATTTATGTTTCATTTGACACCTCAACAGTCCACCGATATCGCAAGTTCGCGAGACTGTCGTGCTGGAAGCAAAATGGATTATACTGTTCAGGTAAAGTTGAGTTTTTGATTGATTCTGTTAGTAGTCACCTTTGTAAACTACTCGAACCTTTTGCTATTACTATAAAATCAAGGTACAAATTCTACTAAAAAATATAAAAGTTTTTCTTTTACACAGGTACAAATGAGATTCTGCCTTCAAGAAACGTCTTGTGAACAAGATGATTATTTTCCTCCCAATATTGGAGTGAAAGTAAATGGGAAATTATGTCCTCTACCGGTAGGAGGTTAACACTTTTTAGTCTATACCGGTGTGTTTCTTCATTACAAGTTGTATTACTTCTTTCAATCAGAATCCAATTCCCACCAACAAACCAGGAGTCGAACCAAAGAGACCACCCAGACCTGTCAACATCAGTCCACTAGTGAAATTATCACCTACCGTTGGAAATCAAATCCATGTCACGTGGTCCGCTGATTATGGCAGGCGATATGCTATTGCTGTGTACCTCGTTAAAAAATTATCAAGTTCAGAATTGCTTTCACGATTAAAATGCAGAGGTGTTAGACATTCGGATTATACAAGGGGGCTGAGTGAGTATTATTTTTATCTAAGTTAAAACATACGTAATGATAAATGTAGATTTACCAGTTGATGTATCTGGAACATATTTTGCTCACTGACTGCAACCTGAAAGTGTTGAATGGTCTCATATATGACCGATGAAATTGTTTTACTTGCAGTAAAGGAGAAATTAAATGAAGATGCGGATAGTGAAATTGCAACAACTTCTCTGCGTGTTTCCCTCGCTTGTCCTTTGGGAAAAATGCGAATGAGCACCCCATGTCGAGCATCTACATGTTCGCATTTGCAATGTTTTGATGCCTCCTTGTTTTTACAAATGAACGAGCGAAAACCGACTTGGAGTTGTCCGGTGTGTGACAAGGCAGCTTTTTATGATAATCTTGTCATAGATGGGTACTTTCAAGAAGTTTTAAGTTCCAATAAATTGTTACCCGATGTTAACGAAGTACAATTACTTCAAGACGGTTCATGGGAAAATTTAGTCTCGAAGAAAGAAAAGGATAAGGAGAAATCTGAGTCTAAGTCGGAAGTAAGCTCTCCACAGAAAACTCATGATGTAGATACAGTTGATCTTGGTAAGTTCTGTATGGGACGATTATTCGTATTTGATATACTAGATATTGATATTTGTAAGTTTATTAATTTATCATGATTGTTTACCTGAATTAATTCAAAGTGCTTGGAATGCCTCCGTTCAATAAATTACGATTGAAATAAATTCATTATCGCGTGTACAAAAAAACCATATACTTCTAAAATATTTATAGGAGCTAAAAATGTTAAATTCTACATTTTTAATTTTTACTAATCGTCTGATTATTTACTCATCAGTTTGATTGTTATTGTGGGGCTATCTGTATTAATTCAACACAAAGTTTACTCTTTATGTGTTAGGTTCGCATATTTTAAACTCCTAATATATTTATTTATGAATTAGAAAATGTTATCTTTGAGTATTTGCTTGTCGTAAGAAATTTCGTTATTGAGAATGTCACCGTAGACAAACAAAAATAAGTGCAGGCTGGATAAACGTATACTTGCTATTTTTATCCATTTACAACTGATTTTATAAGCACATTTGGTTGGTATTAAATTAAAGCAGATTTTTTTATTGTATATTTTTGGACACTGTCAAAGTTTCACATATTTTTCAATTTTACTCAAATCAAAACTCATCTGACATGTTTCAACTTCTTTTATCTTTCACTAACATTTGTTTTAACGATGTTTACCACCAAAATGGGGACAATGACTTCAACCGCTAGATGGCATTAGCATCGAACATCGAATTTGGTGGGAGGTAACCAAAATATACTTTTTTGTTTGGATTAGTGAGATGCAATGCGTAATGGGTGGTGTTTAGAGACGGTAAAAAAAAATGTGTGCTTCCCTCTGTACACATAGGACTCACGCATCGCGTTTAAACATACGTAAATTCTTTATTTTTAAACAAGCCATTGAATGACTCGACTGGCTCAGAAAATACGATCCCAATCGTCCCCGTAAGTCACTGTATATCACTAAAGTGGTAAGCGTCTTTAAAACAGTGGTGGATTTAACAAATGTTGGAACTTATTTAAAATGAAGTAGGCCTAATTAATTAATTGCTTTAAAATGAAGTTCAACGTTTTAAGAATGTAAACAGGTTTATTGTATGTGTGTTAACAAGCGTTTTAAATGTTTTATTTAATACACTTATTAATGTAACTTGTATTAATTTCCTACCAACTTAGACATTAATTTATGAACTCAACCATAACAACTATTTAAAAGGAAATGATATTTACAATAGAGAATTTTAATTAGTATCCTTTTATTTTTTTCCTAGTAGGCATCGTCAAGAATTTCTTGGTGTGGTGGTATAACCTTATCACGTTATGCATTTCTTTTTTAGATGAAACCAATCCATCGGCACCGACCATGAAGGAAAAGAAACGTGCAGTGATTATCGATCTCATATCTGATACCGATGATGAGGATGACGATAGTAATCCATCGCAAAGTTCAAACAAAAAACTGGCTACTGGTAATGCCGCAACTCAAAAGTCCCAAATTGGTTCGCACAATACTATCAGTAGTACAAGCGAATCACCCGAACTTATGATAATTGATCTAGAATAGTTATGTATAATTATATTTAGGTTTACTCCGAGGAAACTTTTCTTTATCATATTTAAAAAGAAAACTCGCCCATTCGTTTCAGGAATTGGTTAATCTGAAATGAGTGACGAGTAAGTACAAAGTCGATACTACATTGAAATGTCATAGATTGGTCACTTTACTTAATCACTTTAATATTTAGTTATTTACATACACATATAGGCTATAGTAAATTAAGTGCCTATTGAGTAAATACTCCTATTAACATTAAATTACGTGACAATGTTACGTTAAAATACCAGTCTTACACAAAAGACTCATGCATTTCCTGCTAGTATCTATTCCATGTAATTTTAAGTGGATAAGAAAATAAAATCGTCTTTTCTAGTGCAAAATAAATTTTGTTTGTAACGTATGTTTTTATATTCCTGTATTATGGATCTAAAAAGAATGGGATGCCAAATGTCACTGCAAAGGGTGGAACTCAAGATGCAAGGAAATTACCTAGTAACTGCCATCTTTCGTTGCTATCGTTCTGGCGTCTTTTAAACGAATATAAAAACAATTTAAAATACACAGTAATCGTTACTGTTGTTTGCACTTTTCGTGTTCTTAAGGTGAAGTGAAACCCCCTTCAAATCCGTCGATTTGAATACAACACTATTTTTTAAGGATATTAGACCAAACTGTCCGAAACTTTGACCCATCACTCCTGATCATCTAAAAATTGTCCTGACACATTCAAAATTTGGATTTTTGGAAAAAGTTTTTTAACTTAGCCCAGACCAGAACCAAAATGGCATCGAGCTCTCATATTTCAATCAATATACAATTATCGAAGGCTCCGATATAAGAAACGAAAGGGTCAGGACAATTTTACGACAATTTAGAACACTCTGGTAATCTATAAACTCGCATTTGAACGAGATAAAGGTAAAAAAAGTATTGTATGCGTTTCTATGCTAAAACAATGGTAATACGAGGTCTCGGAGTGAAAATTTAATTGACCTGGAAATCACAGATGGCGCAGGGGGTCCCTCTGCAGTCAATTAGGGCCTCAGAAAGCATGAATTCAGAGGATTTCTGGAGTTTTACTTTGATTTCTTGATATTTATTGTACGAAAACGACAGGTGAAGTATGCCATTTGGTACAATACCCAATATAATTCGACCCAGCTGTGAATATAAAAATGAACGCCGGCAACGTAGGCATTTAGAAAAATCTTTATCGACGTCGATCAAGTTGCTCAACGTGTTTCACTTTACCTTAAACCGCAATAAATCCGTTATGCAGGCATTCGAGGTAAAATCACCCAAGTCGTATCCGAATTTCCCCGGCCTCGCTCGCCACGTAACAATAAAAAAAAAAAACAATTATGGAAATGTTCAAGAGAAATGAAGGTTTCTAATAGTTTATAAATTAATGTGAATCAAATTTTGAAGAATAATTAATTCTTGATGTATATCCAATACGCAACAGTTTTTCTTCATTGTATCTTCTATTTTACGGAGTAAATTGAAAAATTAAATAACAAATGATCTCAGCCTTCTTTACGATGTAAAAGTATAGTAAACTACATTGTATTTAAAATCCTTTTTTAATTACCGATATGAGTTTTTAACATTCAATAGACCTAAGACATAATAAAACTTAATATGCATATGAAAAAATTACGTTTTTTCTTTTTAAATTTGTTATTAATTATCATCTTTATGCTTAAATGCGTAAAGTGGCGGATGTAATGGTCATTTCAAGACATGGGACAATTTTTCCGCAAATATGAAATAATTGCTTCAGTAGCACGACTGCAAAAATATTACACATAAATCATGCATTTCCCCGAGCTTTGCAGGTTTTGTTTTATTTGGTCGTACTTTTGGTCTTGATCTTGGTCTTGGTCTTACTCAGTCGAGTCTTGAGGTTTGTTCGTTTTGCCTACATATTAAGAAACTCAGACCTAGTCATTATCTGCGATGTTCAGCCTGGCGTGTCAAATTGGACAATGAATGTTGTTTTTTGAACCTCTTGAATGAG